ACACCAATATCAACTTTTCATTCTAGGAATGTTTATCGAATTTTATGATTAAGGTAAGGAAATGCTCCAAGTGTTCAGTTTTCCTGATGTTTCTAGAACGTTATCCCACTACTACAGCTACTACTACAACAAGTAATAAAAGAACAACAGAGGAAGTGCATGCCAGGGCTGTGGGTACAGTAACACTATTGCTTTACACCTGGATGCAGGTCATGGATTCAAGGTGGATGGTACATTTGCATATATACATGTAGCACTTTTGTAATATAATATAGATGCTCCACTACTTACTAATGAGATAGGTTCCGAACAGCCGTTTGTTACTTGAAATGTTCATAAATCGTCATTCAACATCATTTTAAGGGTATACGCAAATACAAAGAACTATGATGCTGGGAGTACGCACGCTACGCTGCTGCGCAGTGGGAGTAGTGGTCAGATGTTGTCCTATGTGGAATTGGCACGCAGAAAAAAAATTGATGCTGTGGACAGGAAATGGGAGCCCTATGAACACAATATGGACTTACAGTCCTCTTCGTTTGTATGTCTGAAAGTTCATAAGTTGAAAGTTCGTAAGTAGAGGGCGTCTGTATTTTATTATGACACAACATTTTTAAACATTCTTTGTGTTAAAAGGCTGTTCAGGTAATAATGTTATTATGCTGACATTAACAGAATCTTTGCTACAATGTAAAATGTGGAAATTTATGTCACAGTAAGAATGTTCTCTGCCACCTGTCAGAGGACTTTCACGTGTAGCTGACTGAGGTCCTGGGAATGTTCCCTGTTAGATGGGTACAAATGTGTCTATGAAATACATGCAAATGTCTTGAGAACAGACATGTTAAGTCTAAATGATCTATGTTTATTTTTTTCACTGGAAATTATGTCCTTTACAAATATCAGAGCTAATATAACTATGCAAGCCATCGCACTCCAAAATGAACAGATTTTTTTAAATGAGTCTACCAGCACTTATAAATCTGTTTTTAAAAGCTTATCGTCCCCAGAGGTGAAAGCATCCATTAAGTCTAAGACTCCCAGAAGTTTGTTTTCACCAGTTACCAGAAAGATTTTTTATTTTCTCTTTGATTTTGTCTGTCCACACTCACTGCTATTGTAGATTATATAATATTGTACAATAATTACTACTGTATCCATATTTGATGCTTTATAATCATATTATTGTTGATGTGGGTTCATTTGGATGACACTGGGATTAATCGGAACTGAAAAACATAGAGAAAACCTGAAACATTATACTTGACCCATCACTGTGATTTTCCTTCTTTGCCTGGTTGATGCATTACCATGGCAACATACTAGCAGGCTGAATAATATCAGCCTGCCAATGCACAAACTATAGCAAACAAGTCAGTTTTCCAGAATGGCCCGGGGTTTTACATTGTACACAGTACACAGTCCTCTGTGACTAACATAGTAGTGAACACAATCCTTTGCTTTTCTAAGCTGTGTCTGTATATCAAAGGTAGCTTGTGGTGGATTGATTGTTTAAGGGCGTGTACTCGCAACTTTCAAGACCCAGAATTGGTCTTGCTTTGGAATTATTATGAAAGTTCCTCACCTGAGCTGATTCAGTACGATTATCCAGCAGCATAAATGGGAAAAGTGTAATTGGCTTTGAATAAAAGAGCCAAGGGAACTGGTCACAGAGTAACTGGTGCAGCGAAAATGCAAAATCAATGACAACCTATTGTTCTTAGATTGAAATAGCTAAGAAGCAATAAATAAATAGCTATGGGGAATATTCTACATCACCAAGTCAGTGTTTATGCGTTAAACATTGGCCTGGTGCCTGATATCTGTATGCAATCTATATTAATCGTGTCAAAACTAAACTGGATTGTGTGAATTAATAAAAACCTTCATTTAAGCTCAATCACCCTTTCTGATTAAAATCTGTGCCATAGGTACGGTACACTTCATTGATGTATGAACCGTTTATATGTTGTTGATTGGTGGTTAACTGCAGATCTGTTGATGAGTTTAATATGCACATAAATTGCTTAGACTTGTAAACATGAGATGACCGTGTAATTTTCACTATTTTACCAAGAAAGTGAGTCTTTTTAATGATGTGTAATTATTCTGTGTGAATACTCCCCCACATTGGCTCTTTGCAAAGCTGCAAATGTGACTGGCATTGCTTAACAGTGTGGCCGTCACTGGAGGTCTTTAAAGTCATCTGTATTCAAGGTACAGAGCCAGAAAATATGTGGATCAAGCTGTCACACTCATAATACAGCTGTGAAACATGGCTTCTTGCTAGGAAAATCAATTTGTAAGAAGGCAATAAATATGGAAAGCAGGCATAAGGAAGCCCCCCCCCCCCCAAAAAAAAAAAAAAAAAATCCCAGCTGACACAGCCTGGCTGTCTTATTGAGATTTCTAGCCTTTGTCGTTCAAGCTACATTATGCGTAGAATGTTGGTTTTGGGTGGTGTTTGTAACAGATGGGGTGAGTTGTTTGTCTAATGGATTTTCTTGATTGTGTCTATGATGGACTGTTTGGGTCTCTGTAATCGGAAATTGGGCATTATCTCTGATAGATGGTGAGACAGTTAGGAATAACTGTGGGAATATTTACCTTAGGTTGGTTGGATGTTAAGGCTTATTTGGAGACTTTTCAGCTAAAGAGAAAAGTCATACATTGTGGGTGGGATTCGAATCTAAAAACCTGAAGCTGTGCTGTCCATTGTACCACCCTGCATATTGCACAGCAGAAGTATAATGTATTGTGAATTTAACATTAAAAATTATACAAAAAAATATTTATTTCTGAATAAATGGGTGGTGGAGTGATGCAGTGCTTAGTACTGTTGTTTCACCGCACTGGAACTGGATTTTGAGTCTCCGCCATGGCTCCATGTGGGTGGAGATTGCATGTTCTCCCCGTGTCATCATGGGGTTTCCTCTAGGTAATCCTCCACAGTCCAAAAACATCCTGAGGTTCATTGGAGTTACCAAATTGCCTGTAGGTGTGAGTGATGTGTGTGTCCTGTGATGGGTTGATGCCCCATCCTGGGTTGTTCCCTGCCTTGTACCCTGTGATGGGTTGATGCCCCATCCTGGGTTGTTCCCTGCCTTGTACATGTAGCTTCTGGGATAGGCTCCGGGCACCCAT